GGAGGAATGGGCCACTGACCAACGAATGCGGGAGACGTGTATAAGCTGGAAATGGCAAGAAACAGATTCTCTCCTAGGCCTCCGAATGGAAACACAGGCCTGCCTACATCATAATTTTAGCCCAGTAAGACCTGTGTTGGACTTCTGAGCTCCAGGACTACAAAATGATAAGTTTCTAATATTTAAGGCACAGAGTTTGTGGTAAGTTCTTACAGCAGACCTAGAAAACTAACAGAAGCCTTTATAGCATTTTCCTATGGGGACATTCCACAGCGAGGAAACTAAGAGCCACCGCACCCCTCAGTTTTCTGCTGAGCCGTACAAACCCTCCCATAAATAAGTCAGGACACACAGTCTCTCAGGCAGAGAGAGGACGTGTGAAGGTCCAGGGCTGTGTGGGGAGGAAGCAAAGGCTAAGAGGCCTGAGAGGAGGTGGCAGGATAGCTATAATGCTGCTGACAGTAATAAAATGTCATGTGTTCAGCCTGGAGGCTGCTGATCGTGAGAGTGAAATCGGTCCTAGACCCACTGCCACTGAATCTATCAGGAACCCCAGATACCCGGGTGGATGCCCAGGTGATGAGGAGCTTAGGAGCTTGTCCTGGTTTCTGCTGGTGCCAGGCTAAATAGTTCTTCTTGTCAGAGCTGGATTAGAGACTCTGGCTGGACTCGCAACTGATGGTGACCCTCTGTCCTTCGGACACAGCCAGGGATCCTGGATACTGGGTCATCATGATGTCCCCACAGGCACCTGCAATCAGAAATGGACAGTGACCACATATTGCATCACTAAGATATTAAAATGTATGTCTAAAAATGTAGGTTTGGTTATTTATCATAAATAATTAGACTATATTAGGTAAAATGGGTTTTTTTATTTTGCATTTTTAAACTATTTTCTAGTTTTATAAGTATATTACTCATTTAAACATCTCACCTGATTCCCAGACTGCCAGGAAGATGAGGAGTTAGGGCCGTGGCACCATCTCGCTGTGTTCACCCATCTGATGGACTCTGGCCTCTAAGACAGCTCTACGCAGTCAGTCTAGTGCCTGAGGAGCCTGTGCAAAGCATGAGAGAGCAAAAAAGCAAAAGTACCTGTGCACGAGTTGTGGAGACAAACACTGGAAAGAGGAGACAAACATATCATTACCCCAGGAAATGAGATTAGATGCCTACAAAACAATCACAAAACAAGTTAAGACTATAATTGTCAATGAAATTCACCATAATTTCCAAATGAAAAATATTTTGAGGTCAGTTGAACTCTTTCAAATCAGCTGCAGTCAACTTGAAAATATACATTACTTTCGTAATAGAATCTATGTGTTTGGAAGCATATACTTTCAAATCGTACTTGAAACATATAAATATGAGGCCAGTGCATGAAATACATTCATGTCACTACATAAAATGAGGATAGAGTAAACAAATTTATCCCTCTCTCTCAGAATCTCTTTTGAATTTTAAATATGTATTTGAAGCCCCTCTTGGACGTCTCACAGGCACCTCAGTACAATGAAATCGGACCTCTAACATTTCCCTCAGCACAAACACTATCTCAGAAAATGAGTCACTACATACTTATGAATCACCCACCTCGCTGCTCCTTAAAATCAGCTTCTCAAATAACATCATGTCCTCCCAAATCCCTCTGTCTCTCACAGATCTAAGGTGTCACAGCTCCTCCTGGGGGTAAGAGGTGAAACAGCTTCAGCTCCAAAGCTCTCTTAGAGCAGTTCTTCATTTAATCCAAAACCAAATAAAAGTATTTGTAGAATTACACAAGTGACAGAATCATTACTTACACAACAGCACACAAAATAACAATATCAGTATCTGAACTCTCCTAGGCATAGGGCATTTTGAACAAATCATACAGAACCCATGGCTTCATAGAGCTCTCAATTAACAGGAGGAACAGATAACAAACAAATAATATTTCTGCAGCCACCCCGAGCCTGCTCCCTCTGAGATTCCTCTCCTGGAGCAATGCCATTACTCAGGGCACATGGGGCAAAGGGCTTCCAGGTCCGCTTAGTGTATCCTCCTACTCAGCATGGACAGAGTCAGAGGAAGAGGGACAAGTCAGTGCAGTTGAATATTTTTGTTTCCCAGAAAAATAAAATCAGTTGTTGTCTTCTTAATCGCCAGATACCCAAATCATCTTATGAGTGAGTATAGTGGTCTTTCAATTCATCGTGTCGCTGTAGCACAAATCCACCCAAAACAGTTCAGTGGCAAGAATCAATGCTCTAATACTATGTATGAAAATGAACTGGACCTAGTTTTAACAGAGCATCATTTACTGTGCCTGATATTTATTTTTAGTGAAGATCGCATTTTTTCTGCTTTACTCTTCTCCATTTTTTCTTAAAGAATGAAGTTGTTCTGGGCAAAGGAGAGAAAGCAGCCATTTTTTACGTCCCTCAGATCAAGGTGTCAGCAGGGTTGGTCTCACCTCCTTGAAACTCATACCTCTCTTTCCCTTCTGTATTTCTTAATTCAGCTGCTTTGGATGAGAGGACACAGAGGTTCACTCTCCCATTTGTAACCAGACTGGAGCTCTGCATTCTCTCTCCCGGAGCAACTACTTTCTCCTTCCAAAGCTCTCAACTACCGTTTGGTAGACTGATTGGTTTATAAGAATGCAATTTTTTTTTTTAATTTAAATCATTAAAAACCCTTAACTTGAAATACAAACTTAGTTTTTGGTAATCTTAGTTGCAGTCCTGAGACAGAACATGAACTAATTCATGTTCTTTCTCTGAATGAGTGCGGAAGACAGAAAGAAACTGAAAATACAGACACACACTTCGTGATATAAAGATAATAGCAAAATTGGTGGCAGCGATGCTCCATATGTTTTAATTAGCGGTATACGTTCACATGCATTCCACAATCTATTACTCATTGTAATTTATAACATCTTCATCTCATAAATAGGAAAATGTTGCTTTCAGCAAAGATTTCAGAAAACATTTTGAAACCAAATATCCTATAAGGCATTGAATAGCATTTATCTACACAACAGAAGGCATATGAGGCACAATCAACACAAATGGCCCCAGGACTGCTGTGCAGAGACT